ACACCTTGTTATCTCAGATTCTCCAGCATCAGCAGTTCCTACTATCTCTTATATCAAACCCAGATGCGTTAGCTCTTTCTCTCTCCATACGTACTGTCAGGCCTATATTCTGCTTTTCAGAATTTCAACATCCTCAGTATTTTGATAACAATTCTCTGGGGACAGGAGTTCAAATTCAACCACAGTAGCTGGGACACATGCAAGTCTGCCAGGATCAGGCTGACCCAGAGACTCCCCTCACCTGGCGTTGCCCAGCTTCCCCTGGACAGTAGGTCACTCAGTCCCTCTTCAAGCAGGCGGTCAATGGGCGAGTTTCTGCCAGTGTCACAATCGCTGTCTCCCTCCTCGCTCTCTCCCTGACCGCTGTCCTTCAGACTCGTCCTGTCGGGGTCCTGCATTGCTGCCCTGTGACAACAGGTAGAAAGACAACAACCACCTTAAATTTGATATGCCCAGAAAAAAAAATGAGATTTAAAGTTTGGAAAGCAAGAAAATAATTGGGGAAGGGGTAGAAAGAGAGAGAGAGTGTGTGGGAGAACTGAAAGAGGGAACGAGCTGAGCTATGGAGAAAGAGAGTCGAACAAATTGCATTACTCTTTCAACGGGCCATACAGCCTGTTTTTGTGCTCTATAATTTTATTTAACTAATTTGAGTTTATACAGCATTTTTGATTCCACAGGTGCAAGTAGGCAGTTAAACATAGAACCAGGCCTTAACAGCACAACCAGCTAGGTACTGGAGGGGAAGCATATCTATGTTAAAGGGATGTTTCACTGTGACCACCGACGTAGAAGATGCCCTTTGTGACTTAAATACCATTGTGCTACTAAATATGAAATTACTGCCCACAGCCAGGGAATTCTCTGCAACATCCTGATCAACATTCATCCCTCGACCAACATCACTAAAAGAACAGGCTATCTGATCACTTATCTCATCACCATTTGTGGGATTTTACTGTGTGCAAATTGGCAGCTACGTTTCCCCACACTGCAACTGTGACTACACTTCAAAACTACCTCACTGCCTGCTAAGCACTTTGGGATAAGGATCCTGAGGATGTGAAAAGTGCCACACGAATGCAAGTCTTTCACCCTATCAGCAACGCAGTGAACTTGCTGCTTGGCAGCCAAGAACATATGCTGAAGCCCAGGCTGGATGTCTTCGAAGAGGGAGAAAAGGGGACAATCTTCTTCTCACTCTTTGCTTCAAGGGCAAAGTTGGTTCCATGTTACCCCAGGATTTCTGTCTAGCTTCTCCACAGCAGGTGCAACAGGGAACTCAGCCAGTCTGAGAGCTACAAAGAGAATGTTGCTGTAACAACCCCGCACCCCCCCAACCAAAAACTCAAACCTGGAGTAGGTTAAAATCACTTTACAACCTCAGGGACTCTAAGAATTTCACAGTCAAAGCAGTACTTTTTAAAAAAGTGTAGCCACTGTTGTGATGCATGAAAGACAGCAGCCAAAGTTGGCACACAGCAAGATCCCAATGTGATCACGGCTGAATAATTTTTTTTTGGTAATGCTGGTTGGGAGATAGATATTGATCCAGGACACTGGGGAGAATTCCCGTACATGAAATCTTTCATGAACACTCAAGGACAGCAAACTGGAGCTGGAGTCATGCAACATGTCTGAACATCAGTGCCTCCAGCAACAAAGTACTGCCTCATGGGCTTGTGGAACTGGATACTGAGCTGGAGTGTCCGAGTGGGACTTGAACCTCTAACCTTCTGACCCAGAGGAGACAGAGAGCCAAGACTAATGCCATCACTTGAAAGTACCTTTACTCTGTAAAGTTCCACACAACTATTCATGGAATCAAAAGAATACAGTAAAAGATGGCCATTCAGCCCATCAAGTCTGTTCCCACTCTTTCATACTGCAGCCCAGTTACTTCTACTGCTTCGCTCTTTCCCATTCCCCTGCAACTTATCTCTCCTTCCTTTTTTTTTTAAAAATTACTCTCATTTTCAAGGCAACTACTGAATCGGTAACTGTTCTATGGACATGCAAGATCACGGCAGCATCTGAACTGTTGTTGCTATCATCCTCTTTAAAGTATAAGCAACTTCAGGGTCTGCTTGGTTTCCTATTGTCAAGAAAAAACACTTCCTGATCTAACTAGAAGTGTCACCTGGATTAAACAAGATAGAGTTTATTGCATGTTAGTAAGTAGTTGCAGGTTACATTGACCTGATCAACATTATTACAGAGACTTTGTGATGGATCAGATGTTCGGCCTTACTCCATTGAGATCCCAAGGTATTCTGCCCACAAGTCCATTTGACAACACCAGAGTGGGTGGTGTTTGTGGCACTCATTAATAATACTTCAGACCCTTTTACAAAGGTAACCATGGGCAGATTTCAAGGGCCCTTGTTCAGGATACTGACACCTGATCAGAGTATAGCAACCCCACACTCAACCCGAGCTGCAATTATTAGGCCCTAATAATCAGCGGCGGGAGTCCGGGAGGAAGCGCGAGGGCAGCCTGGAAAGGTGAGCTTTTCAGTTATAAAAGTCTTACCTCACGTGACTCCATTTTTGGAGTAAGTGAGGTAATATATTTGGGCGGTTGCTTTACCCGAAACACTACCTAGGTAGTGTCTCCCACCCATCCTCCTCCTCTAACCAAAAAAAAAAGGTTCTGAGCGCTAATTTGGTAAGGCTACTGGTATTTTTTTTTTAATTTGTCTGTTTGGGAATTCAGAACAGTGGGAATGGATGTTAGGGCAGTTGTATGCTCCTCCTGTAGAATGTGGGAGGTAAGGGTCACCACTAGTGTCCCCACTGACTTCATCTGCGGGAAGTGCACCCAACTCCAGCTCCTCGGAAACCGTGTTAGGGAACTTGAGCTGGAGCTGGATGAACTTCGGATCATTCGGGAGGCCGAGGGGGTAATTGAGAGGAGTTACGGGGAGGTTGTCACACCTCAGGTACAGGAAAAAAGTAGATGGGTGACAGTCAGGGGACGGAAAGGGAACAGGCAGACAGTGCAGGGATCCCCTGTGGCCATTCCCCTCAAAAACAAGTATACCGTTTTGGATACTGTTGGGGGGGACG